TCTTCAAATGTATTTCAATTCTGATAAGAATTTTTTTTAATAATTTTAGGTGGAGTGAGACTAAGGAATAACCACCTTTGTTAAGGCAGAATCAATCAAGCCTATCAAGAAATGCCTGAAAACATTAAGAAGGCCATTCAGTTATTGTTACTAGGTAAAGATACAGCAAACACTACATTAGTGTACATCTGGGGCAAATCTATGATTGCTACAGGCACTGAAAAGAATTAGAGGATCTTACTTTATAAGTGAGACATCCTTAGCTGCACTGATATATATATTCATTAAGATTCTTTGGTTCTTTATCCTTTCAGCAGTCTGCCACTGAACTCAACAATGAATCACTGAAACCCAAGAAAATGTTATTTCATAGCAGCAGAGTCTTCCTGAGTTTCATTGACTTTCACTGGCAGTAAGTTTCATTATACTCTGGATGGTGTGGTTCAACAGGCTCAGCTGCCTTGTCTAGAATCACTATACTAAATCATGATCTGGCAAAAGTAAGCCCAATTCTCTACAGCTTGGCGTTTGCATCCCCTAATTGACTTTGATGAAAAGGCTGGTTCAGAGCTACAGTGCTTCTGCTGAACAATAACTTATACTTCATGCTCTAAGGAGAACCCTGGGCCCAAACCCATGTCAGTGAACACTCCTCACTACCACTGACTTCATCCTGAATGAATCAAGTTTCTTTTCACTGGACTCTGCTGCCTGTTTTCACTTAATGAAGTGCTAGACAAGCTAAAGGAACTGAACTGAATTACATCTCAGCTAGAGTTTGCAGCCCTTTATTGATGAAAATGTTAATTTCTTTCTGTGAAGATAAAGTGTCAGCCATAATGACAGCAAAGTACTGTGGGCCTTATTCATGAAAATCCTCTGAGGGGATTTTGTTTAACACCTAATTTCTCATTCATGGCTTATGCTGGCACCCTGCCACCTGTACCTGAGGGCTCTCATGCACAAGGACATATTGCGAGATAACCAATTACTGCATATCAGCATCCCTATGAATAGCCTGAGCCTCTGGGAGATGCAAGGGAACAGAAGCAACCATAAATTTTCCTAAGGGGCATTTTTGGCATTAATGCCAGCACTGAACACTTGTATTTATTATCTTGTTTAAAAAAAAAAAAAAGGAAAAAAAAAAAAGGAAAAAATTTAGGTATTTTCATACTATCTTACCCAATATTTACTTGCTGTGATCACAGCTATTATTCCAATTTCCAGATGGTCTGTGGGAAACCTGGTTATTTCTATCACTGTAGCTTGTTTAGTATTATTCATATGCTATTACATGTTCATATTCTATATTCCCCTATTTTAAAATAAAGCTCATTAAAAATGGAATTGCTGTTTAAACCACAGTAATATTATTTGAAAAGAAAAGAGTTGTTAGGCCAGCAGAGAAACAAGCAGCTCTGTAAGTAGCAATACTAACTGCCCTTTATTGCCAATGGATCTGGTTAGCTCCAACAGAACACGAACCCAGGCCAGCCACTGTGAAGAACTTCTAAACCAAAAGAAGTGTGAGCACACAGCAAAATTTTGCAGTCCCTTGGCACTTGAAAACCCACTTTCTCCTGTCTACCTGTCTGTTTTCATTAAATTTATAGAAACGTGTTCTCTTTGAGACTTCCTTGTGTTGCAAGAAGCCACTGGCTCTAAAACCACGGGGAAAGCACAAAGGGCCAGTCTGATTACCTAAGCCTTGGCTCTTAATAAAAACCAAACAAAGAAAGAGAAAAAACAAACTGAATAGATAATAGACTAAACAAACAAAGGCAAATCCCAAAGGACCAATATCATTACAGCAGATATAGAAGCTATATAGAAGCATCCACCAGAAGCTTAAAACTAACTGTTTGTGCTGGATCCACAGAACAGAATGGGCCTGATTTTTCCAGCTCCCACCGGTGAAAGGACATGCCTGGCTTGAAAAGCTGTATCAACTGAAGAGCTTGGGTTTGGGGACAGGCCAGTGATGAAGGTCTTCCCCTCGTCACCAAACTATCTCATTGTGCCTCTGTCTCCAGCTTTGTGCTTCTGCTGTGACCTTTCCTTTCTGCCTCTCTCCCTGTGGAAACAGTCGCCTTAAAGCAGTCCAGTTCCCTGCCTGATACATCGGGCTTCTATTGATGGTCATCGCTGCATCAGATAACGGGCAAGAAGTGATATACTGTAACAAGATGTCTTGCCAAAAGGGTTTTGATCACTTTGATGTTAAGTTAAAAAAAAAGGAAAAAAAAAGTAAAGCATCTTTATATTGAGCTATATATTGCTGAGCCACAGCCATCACTTGCATTAACACTGAAAGCTACACGTGATTTACCACTACTGCTTTCAGTTATGTAAGCAATTTCCTGAGCAAATCTCGTTTCACTGAGGCTGAAAATTCAACTGCCATGCCCTGAACACATCAAAAAGACAACCTTAGTCCCAACATGCCACAGGAGGAATTTTGTTTTCCTCAACAACTTTCTGCCTTCTAAAGCACATCTTCCCTCTTGTAATCCAATTCCATTCTCTCTTGTCCTATCTTCTTCTTTGCAACAACCTTTTAGGTTGCAACAACACAGTGAGTATCAGCAGCAGAACTTCTGTATCATCAACAGTATCAATGCTCAGGAAAAAGAGTGAAAAACTGACTTAAAAGGGGAAGGAGCACCGATCCATGCAGCTTACCTGGTTAAGAGAACAGATATCAGTGATGGCAGAAACAAAATAGCATTTTAAATGGGACCACGTTGTCATTAAAATGATATAACTAAAATTCAGGACAATAAGATGTGTGAAGGAAGCAATGTTTTTAAGGCCTGTCTTGCCATGGCATACTTACTTCTCCCAGTTCAGCCTTACTATAAGGAGAAAACCAGAGAACAGAAATCTAAAGAAGCCCCTTGCCTACTGGGTTAGCAAGCAATACCTGTATTGCAATGAAGGCAGATAGTACTTACTTCCTATCCCATGCATTAAACTCCAAGTAAAAACACTACTAATCTCAAATTTAAGGCTTAAGACACATGATGCTATCTGACCTCAGGGGTGGGCCAGAAGTCTATGAATAATATACTAGTCCCTGCTGCCGTCAGCTCAAACATTTACTTTTTTCAAAAATAATTTTAAAATACACAGTCTTAATGTTAAATGCAGACAGCCAACCTTTAACAGATTGTTATTTTTTCCTAATGTTCTGGAATTTTCTTAATGTGTGCTTTCAAAGAAAAATGTTAACAGATTCAGAAAGATACACAAGTCTCAAACTTCTAATCTGGTAACACCTTGCTCTCATATATCTAAATATTTTTATTCAGGCTGCTGATGAAAAGGCATAGCAGCCTTGAACTCATTTGATGCCCCAAAATATAACTTCAAGAAATTTACTGGTACCCTTGATGGTCCATTTCTCAGGGATTTTTTATTTCCTATTATGGCAAGATAAGATATGCTGAATAATTTCACATCATACCCCACACTCTTAACAATTACAAAACTTTTATGGACCTAAACAGTTGCTAGCTGCATCTCCTTCTAAGAGAAAATACATGTTATTGCATAGAATCACCTAACCTAGTCCAGGCGAGGTAACTTGAGTCCTGAAAGCACTGCAGAGGCATTAATGTGGTATGTTAAAGAAGCACCAGCTTATTTATATTGCAACCTTCAATAATGAATGATGGAAGCTTACATTCTACCCTGTTTGCTGCCCACAGTTCTTCTTAATTAGCTCAGTTCAATATACATAAGCATTTAATTCAATTATCTCTCATCCAGTTTCCCCAGTCTGGAACAGGAAATCACAGACATTTGCCTGTCCTTCCTTCACTGGAGAAAGAAAAAATCCTCTCAACATACTAACAGATTGAAAATACATCCATCAGTCTCTCTCTCTCTCTCTCTGTACTACCTTCCCAAGCTTGCTCACAGACACCTAAATAATGAGGGGTGACAGCAAATAACTCTGTGATATCCATCATGAGGTGATCACTGGGGATTAAAGGCAGTTAACCTGCTTCCTCACAGTAAAATTAATTCAGTGCAAGTAGCAACTCCCTACAATTCACTGGCAGCTTTTACACATTATCAGACACCTTCTTCATACCTTCTGATATGAATTTTGGAATTAATGAGCATCTGTAAAAAACCCTTATGCTCCTCATATTCGTCCTAAAAAGTAAGTATTTCAGTGAACTTACTTGGAAGAATACTGCAAACCAAGGAGAGCCCTGAGACGCAAGCAGATACACAAAAATATTTTTCTTCTATCAGATATAGAACAGAAAAATCTTGAGTGGCAGCTCACTGAGCACCCACAAGTGTTTGTATACTGTGAAGATGGCTCTGACAACAGGTCTAGATTAAACAATTCTAAAGTTAGTAACCTTTTTTTTCCTGATGAACTACTCCTCCATAAATGCAATTCTAAATGTACGTTATGTATATAATTTAAAATACCTTTTTGCCTCAATTTGCAAGTCTTCACATTTCCATTGTCAGGCTGGGTTAAGTTAAATCTCAGTGATTTATACCATATCTCCCAGATAATATCACCTTTTATAAGTTTCACTGAAATATCTATGCCCAGTACCAAACTATGTTGTGCAAAAAGATTTTCAGTTGCAACTAAATGACACTGATGAAGAAGAAACCAGGAATAATCCAGTTAACAGTAACACCAACTGCTGAACATTTTTGATCTTCTAACTTCTCCTATATTTATTAATAAGCCTTAAGGAAAGCTAAGAGCAACATTAGTGAATAATGGTGATCTTAAATGATCTCTTACTATACTCTTTTGGGCCAAAAGAGTATTAGGGATTGCCACTTAGAGGTGTAGTTAAACCATGCTGATGTTTTTTGCCCTCAGTAGTTTTTTCAGTAACCAGGCAATGCTGTACCAGCTACTTGAATCCTCCAAAATTCTTAAGTAAACTAGGAATTACCACGTGAACAGCAGTCATGACAGAGCAAAACAAAATAAGAGGAAATACCATTCTTACCTTCACACACCGGGCAGCACTCCCCGGGGACTTTAACAGGATTTAGGCAGCTCTGTCCGCAGGCCGTGGCAACGCAGTGTGGATCTCCATTGATGCACTGGCAGAAGGTACAGTCGTCCTCTCGCCAGCGGTCTCCGTGAGCTTGGATCTGACCATTGGCATAGCAGCCAGCAGGGTTATTTACTGGATAAAGTGGGTCTGAAATGAGAGGAATTGTAAGAGAATGAGGCTTAATGTTTTGATTTTCTGATTTTGTTTTTCAGAACAAAATGGATCTTAGATTTCTTAATTCCTTTTTCGTTCCAGCTTTCTGAAGGAAACTGAAAACAACTAAATGAACCATTGGAATGATTCGTGTCAGCATTGTATCACTACTTTATACCATGAGCAAAGATGAGACCTCTGGCACATTACTTGCTAGAGCAAGAAGCTTGCCTTAAGCTACACTTTATCACAGCTTTGGAGATATATTATTTCTTCTGAACAGATGATCTGGCTCAGTTTTCAATTTCATTTCAGTTGAAGTTTTTTCCCCTTGAAAGCCAGAAGACCCACTTATGTGCTAGAAATCAAACGAACATTTTGGTACTTAATTAACATAACTTTACGGAAAATACTTTATGTAACATTTCTCATTAAGTTTCATATAAATAAATAATGCAACCCCCTATATGCAAACCCATGACTTGAAATAAAAGCAGCTTTTACTCTTCAGAAATAGTATTACTCCAGAAATGTGATAGTTGCACTAATATAAATAGCAAAAAGAATATATACATTATGTGAATATATACAGTTTATCATGGTGGATAATAAAAAGATAACTGTCAGGCTCAAAAATTAAGTACCTGAGAATGTACAGTAAGTAGGTCAAATTTGTAAAGCAAGCAGCAATAGAAATTACATATTAACACAAATGCAATATAATAAAACCAATAGATACAACTGAAAACATTTTTTAGTGGACATCAAATAAGCACAAGTGATTTACCTATAAGTTATTTTTCCAGGAGGGTTAAGTTTAAAGGACTTGGGAGAAATAAGATGTCCTATCTAAAGGAAATTTCATCACTCCCCTTTGGAAGGAAGGCAATGCATTTTGAGAGTAGGTGGTGCTAGTAGCTGCTGTCTTATTATAAGCCACTTTATGACACTGAATATTTGGATTGAAACTGCTCACAACTTCTACCCTATCCTGAAATGTAGTGATATTCACAATTCTAGTAATTCTAGTTTTTGGCTTTGATTAAGCCAAAAACCATGTGTTTGTGAAAAAAAGGCACTTAAAATGTTTCCTAAGCTCTTAACTTTGCACATTTCATCTTTTAGGATTACCTTGCATCTGTAAATAACTATTTTGACTTAGCCAAAAATCAAATCATAAACAAACAAATGAAGTGAATGTTATCCTTCAACTTATATACAGGATTCTGATTGACAGAGGAATACAGAGAAAGCACAGAAAAGCCATATAAGACTTGTGCTATTTGCAATAGTCTTCTATGTGACTCAAAGCACAAAGTTCCTGGTACCCTTAAAAGGTCAGTCGTGTTTAAAGCTATAAATTGAGACCAGCAAATTACATATCCTAATGCTGATATATCCTACAGGACTTTGAGAAAGAATTCCTCCTAGAGTTAAGGCAAGAAGGGCTTAAGCCTGTACTACACAACTCACATCGAATTTGTCATTTTAGAATTCTCACAGAAAAGAAGAAAGCTTTATATTTCTTTATATTTCTATCATCAAGTAAACATTAGTAGAAAACAATGAGTCACCTTGAAAATCAGTCATGAAATAATCCACAGAAGAAAAGCAGGTAGAAAAAAATGTCACCTCTTCAACAACTAGAAAAGCATGAATGTGTGGGCTGTTAAGTATTTACACTGCTCATTTAGAAGCCTTACCTTGTCAATTTAGGTGTCAACATTACCCCAGTTATTAAGAAAGGGATCAGAGCTTTGTTTTTTAATTATTAGATTTCTCTTTTCTGAGGAGGAGATATGAGATGTCCAGCTGATTTCACTTATTGAGAATCTATTCCTAAATTCACATTTAAACAAGGAGAGGAGGAGTGCTTCAAAGGCCTTTTGACTACACAGTGGCCATAACCTGATCCCCACTGGGGCAAGATCCATATGTAGAGTGCTAGTCCGTGCCAGTTTGCTGGAATCCTGGTTGTATTCTGGCAGAAAATGTCTCCAGTACTTTCTAGTAGGGTCAATGTGAAATTTCATAGAGTCCTTTTTAGGAGGACTGCAGGCCTAGCAAGCAGAGGAGGAGGTTTTCAGCAAGGCAAAAGAGGTACATATATAATTGTAGAGGGGAGAAGGTGTATGCATTGTTCTAGTTGAACAGGAAAAGAAGCAGGTTGCAAAGCAATGGAAATGTGTCTTAGGGCCACAGCTGCTGCTATGGAGATGCCTGTCTAAATGCCCAGTGCAGAACTAAGAAACAGCTTTTTATGTCCTTTGTGAAGAAGAACCCCCGCCCCCCAAAATCCCTGCACACTTGATCGTGGTTAACGAAGTTCTGACGCAGAAGGGAAAGGAAAGCCAAACAGCTCTGTATAGAAAGGGCAGAGTGTCAGTGTCAGAGAAGCGCTGCAAAGAACAAAACAGCACACTCAGGCACAGCAAAAATGTAGAAATAAATTGAATTAAGGAGGAATCTACAAGCTTCAGAAGAACAAAAGCCCTTGTTTGCTCATTTCCATTGAGCAGGCAAATAAAAAAAAGCAGCAGAATTAAATGTAAACAGCATTCAAAAGATACTGTACCTTCACACACGGGGCAGCACTCCCCTTCTGGCACATAGTACCTGTCGCAGTGTAGCTCACCACACTGGGCAGAGAAGCAAATGGAGACTCCACCCTGGCATCGACAAAACCGACAAGCATCCATCCGAAACATGTCTCCATCATAATATTCCATGCTGTTAAATATGCAAGTTGGCTTCACTTCTGAAAGAAAGAAAAAAGTATTTTACAGATATTGTTAATAGGAAAATAGTTAAGCTCGTGTTGCTACTTACAAGAAGAGATATAAAAGAGACAGTTGATTTTTCTTCCATTTTTTAAACTTAAATAAAATCTTATTTTATTTTATTTTTAGGAACATGGTATATTTTATTGTGTTGCAACAATGGAATAAAATAAAATGCTATTCAAAATTACTTTCAGAGCAATTACCTACAATTAAAAGTCTTAATTTTAAAAAAATCCTGAAGGAAGGTTACAGCACTGGTATTTCTTCATAGGTGTTAAATATTTCTCATTCTGGATAAGCCTGAAGGTACTTCAGATTTCAGCACATGAAACAATAGATTTTTCTGCTTTAAGAAGACAGTTTCTGGTGTCTCTTAAGTGTAATCTTTTCTGCAGGACTTGGTACTCAGGTGGATAAACTGCACTAAAGTAAATTGTCCAATCAATAGGTTAAAAAAAAAACCCAACAAACATTTTGTGACTGCATGATCTGTTATGCAGAACCGAACACTTCTTAGTTCAAGCAACCTGGAGCTGTAACAGCCAGCTCACAGCTATACTTCCCACAAAACATAAACTCAATTGTAATAATATTTATGTGACCACTTTATTGTTTCAAAAACATAAGGCAGCTATTTCTTGTATGCTTCTATCTACAGCAGAGCCGTGACATATAATTAAATCCAACCTTTGTTAGAAAATAAAAGCCTGGGGAAATTCTGAAGTATTTTGCAAAGGACATTGCCTATTTACTTTGTTAACATTAAAAAAAAAGAAAGGGAAAAAGAAAAGATGCTCACTAAACAAATTGAACAGTTTGCAGATTTAATCAGCTTTCTTTCATAAATATTATTTTTTATACTGAAGATGTTTGGTTCCAGATTATGAAGTAGATCATCATAAATATATCATAAGGTCTTCTTAGGGCTTTTGACCTTGCAGTTACCCCACACATATGAACTTCCCCCCAACTCCACCACCAATTGCCAGCAAAGTGTACTCTGTTCAACCAGCCCAACTGATCCCCCCACACATGATGTTGTGTAGCTCCACTGCCCAGGGCTGAATCATTGTGACCCAAGACACTGCAGAAAAAATACTCTGAATTTATGTTCAACTATAAGACTCCACATTAGTCATTAGGAAATCATGACTTCACATTATCATCATTATATTGCTCAGTGACTTCAGCCTCCTCCCTCCTTCCTGCATCAGAATAAACTTTTTGTCCTCCTATGACACTAGCCCAAGATACTCAAAAACAGCCACCTGATGTAAAGCACTATCTAGTTAACCAGTGTATTTTTTTCAGAAGCTATGAATCTAGCAGTCTGAAAAGCCAAAGGTTCTGCAAACAGGAAGCTATTTCAGCAACAACGTTACTGAACTGTAGATAAAACCACTATGTTTCATCACATTTGAAGCAAACATAGCAAAGAAAAAAAAAAGGATAATTGTCCATGTTTCTGATTTCTGTAGAATAGATGGAAATGACTACTTGGTTGTATACGTAATGCCTGGCCACACAGGATTGAAAACTGCCCACTTTGTGGTCAGGTGATTTTCCTTTTTTTGCTTAGTGATCAATCTCACATGGGAGATGAAATATATTCAAACGAAAACTCAGTATTTGCAGATTACTTTTAGCCCACCCCAATTCTCTTAACTTCTGAGAGCTAAAACTGAGTTACTTTTGACAATGAGTTTTGACAAGGTTTTCTTTAAAACTCTGAAGTACTTATTTCCATATACGCTCATACTGAGCTCCAGCCTTGAGTCATTTGATATGATCATAAAGCATTAGAGTTCAAACTTGGAAGTATCTTGAGCAATGTTTGATTTTTATATGCTTGTTCTGTCTTCAAGGCATAATGTAGAAAGCAGCATAAAAAACAAGAGTAAGAAGAGGAAATACCACTGTGTCCGGGAAAACAGCTATGACCTCATTAGAAAGCAATTCACATAAACAAACACTTGAGAAATATTTTAAGTTTATGTAGCTCAAGCTGTTAGTTTAAAAACCTTCTCAAAAAGGAAAAAGTGCCAACACAACTCAAAAGGCCTTTAATCCATTTGCTTCTAGCTTCAGTGTTTTGATTGCAGCTTTCCAGATTTTTAGTTTCCCCCCCACCTCAAACAGTGGATATGAACTCATGCCTTGTTAGAAGCAGAAACATCCTCTTCAATGAATTATCATTCATTTTTAAATGTCCAAACAAGACTAAACAAGTAACTGCAAATCCCTCAACAGAAACAGTATATTTTATTCCTACAATGAAAACCACCAAAGAATTTCACTAGACGTATATTTTTACCATCCAGGTTTATGGCAGCTTATACATTTATACTGAACTATAGACCTAAGCTTATACATCCAGCTACGAGAAAAGGATTACTTTGGTTAGAACCAAAGTAATATATAAGTATATATAAGACTCCAGTCTTGAGACTGAGTCAAGCCAGAACAAGCACTAAACAAAAATCTCTAGCTGTAGATACTCCAGGTGGAAGCCTAATGAAAGAGTGAACAGCACACAATGAAATTATAATAATGCATTTTCTTCCACCACAATATGCTGAAAGATTCTCTCAGTACTCTGCTTTTTTTGTTTTGTTTTTTTTTTTAAGTGTCAATTTTATTGCCTTATTGATATATGTATGACAGTCACAAAGGAAAGAAGGAACATAAAGCTAACATGAAATAAATGCATCTTTTCCTAGAGGCCAGTAACCACGAATTCATTGTTTTGCTAATAAGGAGAAAAACTACAGGTAGGATTCTTCAAGCTTCACTGCATCACAAAGTAATTCAAATTGACCAAACTTCACAGCACAAAACAGTTAAACATATCTCAGACTCCAAATCCTGTTTCTGATGCAGACTACTACAACAAAGCAGTGGGCATGAGACAGACCACAGATTCGTGAACATAAATTCAGTGTCTGCTAGCTCTCAGATAAGCCAGTAATACAAGATCGATCCAGCCCAAGCACTGACATACTAATGCCCACCTGTGAAAGAAGCGAGGATAGAGCAGATGATTCCCAGAACAATACAGAGTTTATACTGACTGTGGAAGGACAGATGACATCACATCTCTGCTGTTATATCAAGTCAAGCATGAATAAGACGGACTTAATTTGGCATTAAAGTTCTTTCCACAGAGAAACAAGAAATAGTTCTGACACATATTTGTCTCTACAGATCTCATGGCCACAGCCTTTTTTTACTGGGTGTGAGAGCCCTAAATGTAAGAGTTGTAGTAAACCCCAGAGTCTCACACTACACAAACTGTGATTATTTCTCAAGGCCTCTATCACCAATTTGAATGGCAAATGGCTACAATCTGTTTAATCAAATTATTTTTCTAAGGTACTTTAACTTCTACATTTAAACCTAATGAAATACAGTTCTATTGCTGAACTAGTCCAAATTAAAACTTCTGTTATTGAGTGGTTTTAGTTTTTCAATACTTATGTTTTTATTTGATTAGAGTCACGGAATAGCTTAGAAACATGTCCAAGTTTGGGAAGCCACCCTTTGCAAGGCAACAATTCTGCACGTGGTACACATGAGATGCTTCAGGCATCACATGTCTGCAGGTAAATTTGGGCACTTTCTTTTGTAACATCAGAAGTTCCAGCTCCTCTGAAGCAGAAGCAAGATTCAAAACAATTTTCTGTTGTTTAAAGAATTAAAAGGTCCATGATTCTAGCACTTCAGATATTCTTTTAGCAAAAAGAAGTATTTGTATCAGAGCCATGGAAGGAACTAGGGCAAGTGCTGTGAACTTTCTATTAAACGAAAGGGAAGGAAACTGATAAACTTGAATCCTGTGTCCATATAAACAAAATACAGAGAAGCTTTTCATTTTTAAAAAGCTGTGCTGATAGTTTAAAAAAGAGAAGCATGTGTTTCATTGGAATTGGCCCATAACAGTGTTACAGGAAACTACGTGCTATACTGTTGCTGTCTTGCAAGCATATAAAAATAAGATAGATAGAAAAAAAAACCTATGTGGGTTCTTACTCTTCAGATTGTACTCGTTAGTGCAGCGTATTCCCTATTAACATGATTACAGGACCATTCTGAAAGTCCTTTGGTCCTGCATCTTCTAAAAAGATCATCCAGAAACAGAGAAACCAGAAATAAACAAACCCATAACTATTACCTGTAAATCAGTGCAATTATTTATGCATGAATTTATACAATTATTTATACATACTTAAACAGTTTAAAGGAATGAAATACTATTTTGTGGCACCTCCATTCTGTAAAAACTGTTAAAAGGTACTTGGGTTGCTGAGGAAAACCAAATTCAGCTCTACCTGATAAATCTCATTTTCTTTAAAACCACCACTAACGGAGAAACTGCAGACTACCTATTAAACAATTCCACAGTTTTAACTACTGTAACTATGCAAAAATCACAGAAGGGGGTAATTTAGGTTACATAGAAACAGAAAACAAGCAGAAAGGAACTTTCCCAAGTTTCATTACGTTTCCCATCTTCATATCCTCCAATGTGCAAATTTATTGCTAAGAGGACTCATCCTCAAGACACCTCATCCTTCCTTCATCCTCTGCCTTCATCCTCTCTTACACATAAAATGCAAGCCTTTCTTTCAATTTAATTTTTCTTCATCAGGTCATGCTTTTGTGTTTCTGTGGCTTTCCTCAAGGCTATCCCCCTTTTCTCTCTACTCCTTCTGGAAACTAGGCATTGCTACTTTTTAACATCCTTCAGTAGGTTACAGGAAAACACCAGGACAGCCAAAGGAGGAGCTGGGGCCACAGAGGGTGGTGGCTGTGCTCCAAAACCCCCAAAGAGTGACAGATTTTCCTGATGAAATTGCCAAACAATTCTTGGAAGCAAGACATATTCTTCATAATAAAGGAATGTGTTTAAATCCCAGTGGTCCCTGTCAGTCCATCACAAGAGAAAATAAATGTTGTGATCAGTTTAGCCCTAGGC